ATACAACTCCCCGAAATAAGTGAAGTGGTCAACACGCTCCGCAAACTCCTAATCACTACCTGTCTCTATCTTTAAGCTAGGAGTCAATGTACTCCAGTCCGGTGCAGCAGTCGTGTAGCGTCATCTGACAATTCCACAGGAATGCTATGCTTCACATCAATATAAACGAAAAATTAAATTAAATTCTTACACAAAATTATCATTTTACAATAGGTGACAGTGTAACTGATCTCAACAATTCAAACGAAAACAGAAAGAAAGAAAAAAAAGAAAGCAGACAAAAAGTTTGACGCAAAAATACCCGTTGTGTTTTAGTGTTTGAATGAAAATGACATCTTTTCATGGGAAAAAAATATCACACCATCATCAGATAACATGACTGAATAAGTGCCAAAATGTGAAAAAATAATAAGTAATAATAATAATAATTCAAAAAACAAAAATGAATAAATTCACATGTTCAAGTTTCATTGGATGATAGGAATTGTCGCTACATTCAACATTAGTATATTAGTATCGTCGATTGGACTACAAATTGGCTTTGTACGCATGCATGCTAACTGTTTCTGTCTGTCTGTCTGTTTTCGACATAGAACTTTGCACAAATGTGCGGAAGTTCAAGTCGCCACATTCCGTGTAGCACGCGAAGCAAGAGAAGAAAGTACAAGAAAAGCATAATAGAAACAGTGAGCAGAGGTGTGAGACAAAGGAGTAATAAAGAAATACAAAACAGTTTCATTGGAGATCATAAGTCACAAGGAGTGGATGCATCTGCGCCACTGAGAACGATTTTGAGCCATGTCACCAATTGTTTCCAACCATAGATTTTTACCGTCCCGAGGACCCCAGCCTGGAAGTCTACACCTTCCTACGTGGCTTAGACCAACTGTTGTGGATTTCATTGACTGATGCCAAGTTTTTGTTTGACCGCCGCTAGCTTTTTTCCAGCCTGACCCTATATCCGCTAACATTGCTCGTCGAGGGAGGCGATGACTTGGCATACGTAACACATGTCCTAACCATCTCAGTCTTTGTAGCTTCACGACTTCGTCGATTGATTTCCCCTGTTTACCTAGAACTCTACGCCTAACCTCCATGTTGCTCACCTTATTATGCCACTTTACACGGGAAATAGAACGCAGGCACCTATGATCAAAGACAGCTAGTCTTTTCATGTCTTCCACTCTCAGTGGCCAGGTCTCACAACCATAAAGGAGGACGGAGCGGACTGATGAGCAGTACACCCGCCCTTTGGTCGATAGTCGAACATCTCGTCTACGCCAGAGTCGGCGTAAACTAACAAATGCGAAACGAGCCCCTTGTATTCGTGCTGAGATTTCGTCAGAGATCAGCCCGTTGGGGCTGATGGTACTTCCCAAATAAGTGAAGCGGTCAACGTGCTCTACCACTTCACTTCCTATTTTTAAACTAGGCGTCGATGTAGTCCAGTCCTGTAACATCATCTTGCATTTGGCGGGAGCGAATCGCATGCCAAACATTCGTAGATTGCGGCTCAAGGTGTTTAGAAGACTCTGCATTTCGTCAGCGTCTTCGCCTAGAAGGACTATATCGTCTGCATATTCCAAGTCAACGAGATTATTCCCCGGTAGCAAGTCAATTCCTGAGTCGCTGAAGTCACCTAGGGTTAAGTCCATTAACACATCTATGATGAAGTTGAATAGAAAAGGAGATAATGGGCATCCTTGACGGACACCACTGGTCGTCATCAGTTCAGATGACAGCTCGCCGTAAGCCCTCACCTGGCTGTATGAGTACGAATAGAGTGCCTTAATCAGTGCAATATATTTTCTCGGAATTCCCTTTACAGCCAAGCATCTCCAGAGAACTTCCCGATCGACAGAGTCGAATGCTGCCTTTAGGTCAAGAAATATAATGACTGTTGGACGCCGGTAGGAATGCCTATGTTCTAGAATCTGTCGGAGGGTGAAGATATGATCAATACACCCTCTTCCTGGTCTAAAGCCTGCCTGGCTCTCTCGTGTTTGTGCTTCCCGAGCACCACTCAGTCTACGCATGATTATTGAGCCTAAGACTTTAGATACTATATTAGTCAAGCTAATCCCTCTGTGATTATCACAGGAAGACTTGTCTCCCTTCTTGTATATGGGGATAATCAGTGACTTACACCAACCCGATGGGACTTCTTCTGATTCCCAGACGCTGCCTAGTACCTCAGTTAATGCAGACAGTAAGCTGTCTCCACCGTACTTAAATACCTCTGGCGTCATTCCATCAGGTCCCGCTGCTTTGCCTAGTTTCAGATTGGTGACAGCTTTAGTAACCTCAGTTAGGGACGGAGGACCTGTGTCTATATCCCATTCAGGGAGGTGTTGGATGCTCGGAAGGTTGAGCGTGGCTGTGGGCAAATTAAACTGCTCCTCATAATGCTCTTTCCAACGATCCAGTCGTCTATCCTGGGAGCTAATTATAGTGCCATTTTTTTCCGAGATTGTCTCACTGATGATTTGTCTTCTCCCACCCGTTTCCCTGATGAGTCCAAAGAGTTGCCTGGTGTTGCCTATCCTCGAAGCTTTCTCCATCTCTTTGGCTTTTGTCGCCCACCACTGTTCACGGTCCTTGCGGAGACTTTTCGTAAGTTTCCTCTTGTGCAGCTTTCGCTCCTCATTGAATTCGGAGCTCGCCGGAATAAGTCTTCTAGCATCTATCAGTTCGGATGAGGCGGTGGAGATCCAGTGGTTTTTACTCACCTTTGGGTTTACCTTATTCACAGCTTTTACAGCTGTATCTATGGCTGCCTGGATATTTTTCCAAGCTTCTTCAGGGTGAGCACAGCTGTCGAACACAGATATGTGTTTAGCTAGTTCTTCCTCAAATACGGATTTAGTTTCCTGATCGAGCTGGGGACGTGATGGTTTTACCGCCAGCTGTTTCCTACGTCCGTTCAGTCGTAAGCACACCCGAGCGCGGACCAGTGCATGGTCGGTATCTACGCACGTGTTCCAGAAGGAGCGACAATCTCCTACCGACCCACGCCAACGATAGCTTATTGCTATGTGGTCTATTTGTGTCCAGCGTTGGTTTGATGAAGGGGGTCTCCAAGTCAAACAGTGTCTTTCCTTGTGTTTAAAGTTAGTGCTTACAAGAAACAAATGATTATCAGAACAGAACTGTAGGAGACGGTCACCGTTGTCGGTTCGCTGGCACGGAACTCCATAGGTGCCACCGACATCCTTCTCAGATTGACACAATTTCCCTACTTGAGCGTTAAAGTCACCAGCTAGAACGACTATGTCTGAGCGTTTAGCCTTTCCACCAAACTAGACAGCTTTTGGTAGAACTCATCCTTCGTTTCATCTGAACTGCAGTCAGTGGGGGCGTAGGCGGAGATTACGAAAAGGCATCGGCGAGTAGTGCAGTCCTTCCTCCTTCTTACTGATCCGTTCAGGCGGACAGCACACATTCGGCTATCTACCGGGATCCAGTCAAGCAATGTCTTTTCTGCCCTAGTACTCAAAGCTATCCCTACGCCAGCTAATCCTCGTGAACTAGCTGTGGCATCTCCTGACACCCTCAAGGTGAATTTTGCAGATTCAACCTGTTGGCCAGGTGGGGTTAGGTGAATAACCACACTTGGGTCTTGTATGCGTGTTTCTGAAACACAGCATACATCAATGGCTCGTGATGCCAGGGTCTTGGCTAGTGATGCTTGTTGTCCTATTTGGCAAAGTGTCCTAACATTAAGAGCTCCTATATGAAATTGGTGGCGCGGCTTTAAGAGGCTGTCGGTGGTGGTTTTTTGGCTTCCATCGTTTTTAGTGGACGCAGAGTGGAGAGGAAGTGGAGAGCTATCAAGTCGAGGAGTTGCATCAGTGGAAGGAAGGCAAGATGATAGAGATGAAGATGAAGACAAAGATGAGTGAGTAATAGAGAGGTTTCGTGTGCATTTCGGATTGTGAGGGCGATTGTTACTTCCCGGCTGCCCACACCGTGGAAGTTGGTTGCGTGACCGCAGAGCCCAGGGGACAACTGCTTGAGGCCGGTCACACGCGGCCTGTTTTTGTTCGTTCTTTTTTGTTTGGTGTGTCTCAGTAGCAGATTTATCACTCCCGCCCTGTGACACGGCAGCAGGAAGCGCGGTCGTTGTTAATCCGGGCCACGGCCGATCCGGCATGAAATTTTGTAATTTTGTATTGGACATGATGTTGGATTGGGTAGCTGCTTTTTGTTTAACCGCTATCCAAACAACCTGCCTGGCATGGTAGAACCTCAAGAGACATAAGTCTCAGCCAGTATAGCTTGATTAGGTCATTGCGGTGTTCAAGCCCGACCACCACGTCAAGGTAGCAGCTTTCGGTCGGGCTAACTGTTTACACAGACGGTATCTCATAGCCCATGCATAATTAAATTTTTGTTTTATTTTACGAAGGCGAAATGATCCAATTGTGGTGAGAGCAGGCTGCTAGCCGATTGGTTGGCACTAATCTACGTTAAGGTCTAGGTCACTAATATGGGCCGTGAGAAAATATGAACAAGCCTGAGTCAACAACCAATCACAGCAAAGTTAACGTGGCAGAATATGATTCGCAGAGAGAACTCTATTTGTCAAGTAATCCCGAAACAACCAATCAGAAGCCTGCGTTTGTCTACCTAAACAACCAATCAGATGACTGCGCTTGTCTATAATAATGTAGTTGAAAGATGTATAAATACGTGTCGATTTTCATAATAAAACGATCTGTTGCCTGGCCCTTGTCTTCTGTTGTTACACAATCACCGTTTCTCTCTCTGTTTCTCTCTCTCACACACACATGTGTGTGTGTTGTGTCAGACTATACAGACATGTGAATAATGCGTTCTGTTTTTTCAAAACAAATTCAATTCGACAGAATACCAGCTGTTATTATATGATTATGAGCAATACAAAACACGCATATATATACAAAATACACAACAATAAACACTATAGAGAGATGAAGGATGAATTAAATCAAAGTTATAACAACATAATTACTACTAACCTGATTTACAGTCTCTGTTATATCAGCAAAACTGTTATAGTCTAATTTTTCACCGAAATGCGTATTCGAAGTTAGTTCACTTTCTGAATCAGAGGCTAGATTCACATGTGTACACGTGAGTGCATGTGTGTGTGTGTATGTGAAGCATATTTTCAAATGAGCAGAGAAATAAAAATAAAAAAATAGTTGGGTTAATGCATAAATTACAGATTATTAGACAATTAAGAAAAGGTAATTTCAATGTAGATTTCAAAGTCTTTGTCAACCTCATTCAACAACTGGCTATATGAGAGTGACACACGTGTCACATGATCCATAACAGAAAACTCAGTGGGGCGTTAAAAGTGCATGCAGGAGTAAGGCAAGGCTGACTGCCTATTGTCACACCAACGATGATATTCTTAATTTTGGTGGATTGGATTATGCGTCAGCCAGTTGGGGGCAAGGAGTCAGGAATACGCTGCGGTGACCAATAAGAAGACTCTAGAAGATCTGGATTTCGCACACGATATGTGTCTAATGTCACACAAACTCGAAGACTCATAGGCGAAAATAAACAAGCTGTCTGAAGAAGCAGCTAACACAGGACTCCAAATGAAAATAGAGAAGATGGAGTTGATGAAGATAACCAACGAACCACCACCACAACAACAACCGGCACTAATCACCACCAACGGAGAGATTTAACAGAGGTTACCTCCTTCATTTATCCGGATAGGAAGCAGGATTTCAACCACAGCCAGTAGAATAGATGAAGATGTCGAAGCCAGCCACAATCGGAAAGGCAAGATACACACGCCTACATCCACCTGAAATCAATTTGGAAATCTTGTGCATTCCGCCTCAGCACCACAAGGGACAATATTCGGATTCTGTGTGAAGTCAGTCAGTCAGTCCTTCTATACAGGTCAGAAACTTGCACTGTGTATCTGTCACGAAAAGGATTTCCAACAGCTTGTTGCAGACTTTGACCAACAGTTCGATCCCCGGCCACCAACGCACTCCCTTACCTAGCTAAGCCGGTAGTAGGGCTTGCAAAGAGGGAACGTTGGGAATGAGGCTAGCAACCCCTTCCCGTAAAAATAAACACTGCTACCGAAACTTCAAGCCTCTAGCTTGAAGTGCCCTATGTTCCACTAGGAACGTAAAGGTATGATTGTATAAAGGAGACGAAGACTATTGGAAAGACGGTATTGAATGTTGAAACAGTCAGTCCCTTTGATAAGTTTAAATAAGGCGTCTCGGGATGATATCATTTAGTAGTTTTGAACAACGCATTTAAGCGAACAGTATTGTTTTCACTTAGATCTCACCACCGAGAAGTTTGATATATATTACCGATATGTCGATGATACATTTATCTTAGCTGATGAAAATGTTAACATAGACGAATTGTTGCTGAAATTCAACAACATCCACCCTTCGCTTACCTTTACTTGTGAAGTGAAGCAGGAGAATAAAATACATTTTCTGGATGTCTTGCTAAGTAGGCGAGAAGATGGGTCACTTGGGAGAAGCGTGTATAAAAAAAGCACATCCACATGGCAATTCACACACTCCCTTAGTTGCGTGCCCATTAAATATAAAAGAAATGTTTCTAGAGGTCTAACGAGCAGAACAAGAAAGATATGTACGGATGACATCTTTTAAAGTGAAATTTGAATGTATTCACGATTCTTTGACGGAAATGAGCTATCTGAGTAGTTTCATAAAGACACGTATGAAAACATCAGAGGAAAAACCTGAGACTCTGACAGCACGTAAAAAGCCTACATTTATTAAGTTACAATTTAATGGTGACTTATCAAGTGAGATTCTATTCCAAAGAATTTCACGGAGTATACGGAGAACGTTTAACGCAGCACACCTATGTTTGCCATTCGCTGGCCGACGAATGATTGGGACGTAAAGGAAGGATAAGTTAGATGGTTTAATGATATCTATGTACATTTATCAATTCAACTGCACCTGCGGTGACAATTATGTTGGGCGTACTACCAGACAGCTTAGCCAACATGTCGGTGAATATCGCTCATCCTGGTTTGGCAAAGGACAGAAAATAACAACCCGTAGCTCAGTTCTGTCACATTTAGTTGATAGTGGTCATGTAATGGAGAAAAAGAGAACTTTCAAAGTAATTCATCGTACCCCACCGAATCTTTCCAGTAGACTTCGTATTCATCTACTGAACACAGCTGAGGCGATAGGCATTTAAATCTAAACTATGCATTCAAAAAAGGTTCGTAGAGCCATTATCCCTCCCTTGGCCTATTAAGGACATAACTAACTAATAACTTCAACTTTCTTATCATCCCTTAATCTTATCACATCTTCATTAAAAACGTGTCTCATTTCCTTCCCTTACAGTCTAGCATTACTTAATCGGTTCATTTGTTTTTACCAGCCTTTATCGACTACTGTGTTCACCTGAACAAACTGTTTGTTTAATCATACTGTTTCTCGTTATTCGTGTTATCACAGATTACCTCACTTGTTCATCCTTATGATTGATAAAACTATTATTATTATTAATATTATTATGACAAATTGCACAATTTATATTCACCATCTTATTATCCTATACACAAAACACCATGATTGGTTTATATTTGGATTTTTATTTGTAAACTTATGTATATTAGAGTTAAGCCTAATGCGATCTAATTGAAACCACAATATTAACCATTTAAATGTGTTAATTTTTACAATCCTAGCTAATTCTATTAACTATTTTGTATTTTACGTAATTCCTCTGAGTCGTCCTATTCTTCTCAGTCACCATTGCTACTTTACACATTTCTTGATTATGTGTAACTTGTTGCCAACGCCTAAGAATCAGCTTGTCGTGAATTTCGTAATTAATTTTCACCTCTCCTTTAAAACTTAGAAATCTTGTTGCTAACGTCGACTAGTTATTGGTTTTGATGACTAAATTGCTGGGCATTTACTTCATTGAGTTTCTTATGAGCTAAAACAATGTGCACCGCTCCACATGTTACCTATCTTGGTATAACACACACTTTAAATACAAAAAGACGACGAAATAAAATAAAAGTTTGTTCAAGTGTTGGTTTGTGGGCATTTGATTAATTAAAAGATTTCATCATGAGCTGACATTGGTTAGAGAACCATTGGAAAACCAGCTGGGAGTTCGGGAAAGCGGTTTCCATTTTCCTAATTTGGGACTCTTCAGCAGTACTCCGAACCAACCGGGGTTCGAACCCAGGAACTTCTGGTTACAAGGCGAGCTAGCTCGTATACCATTAGGCGACTGGGATCCGATCCAATGGACAGCCCATGAATTCTAACTTCTGCCAATTCACTACATAGCGCAGCCCCTAGTCGATGTCTTCGGCGATTATTTCTCCTCACACCCGACCTGGTGCACCGTACTGGTCACGACTTCTCACTAGAATCCCAGGTAACTACCTACCTGAATAGGGCAAGTGCGTACTGCTGAAGAGGACGAAACAGCTGTCCAGTACTCCCAGGTTTTCTAATGGTTCTCTAACCAATGTCAGCTCATGACGAAATACTGTAACAAAAGTTTGTATTCATGATACTTAATTATTGGTGGCGTCTTCAAGAAGGCTAGGGCAAAGTGCGTTTTATGCCATTGTTAAAGGCGTTGAAGAAGAATCCTACTTATACAGAACACAAATGGCTGGGATAATAAAATACATAGGTATATAGGTAAACAGACAATGTATATATATATATATATATATATATATATATATATAAAATTCAAAACTTACGGATACTGAAAACAGGTGGTTGAAATGTAGCATTTGAAGAAGACTCCATTTGTTGATGAAAATTTGAACATAATGAGAATCGCCTTTGTAACTTTGGAACTTTTGTTCGACATTTACCCTGGTTACCACTATCATTACTATCATCGGAGTTTCTCAGTTGACAAGTAAGCGAACGTGAATATTTACTAGTATTCAATTTACTGCCAGAATTGGAATTATTATTTACACCATGCAGTTTTGACATTTGACTCAATGAATGCAGGCGACTGAGATTCAATGAATTCGCTGACAAGAGAATCTCTTCAATTGCTGTAAGGTAATGAAAAATTTATGAGAAACAAAACAGAAAAAACAACACAGGTAAATGTTAAGAATTCATGGAGATATCTGTTATCTTAGTGCATCGGTGGGATAGCGGTTAGGTCGCTCGCCGACCATGCATATGGTCCGGGGTTCGATCCCCGACCACCAACGCACTCCTTTACCTCGCTAAGCCAGAAATAATGCTGGTAAAGAGGAAAGGTTGGGCATGAGGTCGGCAACCCCATCGTGTAAAATAAACACTGCTACAGAAACTTCAAGCCACTAGCTTGAAGGCCTATGTTCTCCTGGGAAACGCGAAGGATATGATTTTTTTTAATGATTTTGGGTTATCTTCAATATGTCAAATGACTAACCAATCGGTGACCGACATTTTGACATCGAAGAGGGAAACATCAATGGTTCTATCCCATGTCTGCCTGTTTTCAACATAGGACTTCGCACCGATACGCAGCAGTTCAAATCGCCACACTACCTTCTTGTAGCACACAAAGCAAGAGAAGAAATGCATAATAGAAATGCAAAACAGAGAATGTAGACAGGGATATGATAGAGAGAGGACAAATAGTTTCATTGGAAATTATAAGTCACATGGAGTGGATGCATCTGCGCCAGCCATTGAGAACGATTTTGAGGCCTACAACCGATTGTCCCCAGCATTATTTTTTACCGTTCCGATGACCATAACCAGCCAGGAAGTCTACAACTTCCTACATGGATTAAACTAACTGTTATGGATTTCATTGACTGATAAAGGGTTTTGGTTTGATCACCACTGGCTAGCTCTTTTTCAACCTGATCCATCTTATGTCAGCTAATGTTGCCCCTAGTCGACGAAGGCGATGACTAGACATACGTAACACATTTCTCTCTCAATCCGTGAACTTCACAACCTCGTCATTGATTCCCCCTCCCCTCCATACGTAGCACTTGACCAAAGCCTAACCTCCATATTTCTCACCTTATTATACCACCTCATTCTAATATGGGAGAAAGAACACAGACACCTATGATCAAAGACAGTTGGCTTTTAAAGATTTCAAAGGGTTAATACATTTATACCACTGAGAAGGATTTCGAACTATATCATCAACAGTCTGAAGACACTGGTTCTCATAACCCGAATGACCCCAGAACAAGCTAGTCTGCAACTCCCCACGTGACCACCTGTTAAAGACCTGATGGATTGATTGACACAAAGTTATCGTCTGATCAAACCTAACCCCTTCCCAATGCAGTCCTATGTCAGCTACACCATGTAACACGTACAGAAAAAAAGGGAAACATGCAAAAACAATGACGACTTAATTTACCTGAGAAACTACAATAAAAGGATTCTTCTCCATCCTTTAGAACGATTTCAAGATATATAGCCAATAGTCTCAAGCACTTGTGAGTAAAATTTATTTTGATAAAGTCTCACAGTAGAAAAGATTTGTAACTCAGGTGGATGATTTGCAATTGCAAAAGTTTCACAGTGTTTGTTATACAGTAAAATGTTCACTGATCACTACGTTTCGAGAACAATTTATTACTGCTCATAACCATATCACATGAAGGCGCCAACCACACAATTTTCTAACTTTGTTTATGTAATTCCACTATTATTCATCGCTTGACTTGATTAGTGGTAGTGGTAGTATTTTCCATATTTCTGATATGAGCGATGAGTCATTCCTTTCTCTCTCTCTCTCCACTTACCTAGATTACTTCTCATAATTTCAACCATCTCACACCACCCTATTGTGTGGTTGTGTGTTAATTCATGGATGCAGTGCAATGTAATGCTGAGCTGTTTTCTAAATTACTTATCTTTTCGGGGTCAACCATTCTCACCTTAGCGGAATTCTCACTTTTGGACAATCTGACTACCACTGACCCACTATTAGTTTGACTGACCTGTGTACTTGACCTTACTCACAGTCATTGTAGGGTAATTTGTGAATTATATTATTTCGTCACATTGGGTCAACCGACAGGGTCATTCAACCTACAGAGCTTGTTATAAGAATAAAAACTTGTGCGCTATGGTTGAGTAAAATTCCATTATGGGTGAAATTTTTTTGATAAAGTCTCATAGTGTCACTTAGACAAAATAATATAATTCACAAATTACCCTACAATGACTGTGAGTAAGGTAACTACATAGGTCAGTCAAACTAATGTGGGTCAGTGGTAGTCAGATTGTCGGAACATAAGAATTTCGCTAAGGTGAGAATGGTTGACCCCGAAAAGATAGCAATTTAGAAAACAGCTCAGCATTACATTGCACTGCATCCATGAATTAACACACAACCACACAATAGGGTGGTGTGAGATGGTTGAAATTATGAGAAGTAATCTAGGTAAGTGGAGAGAGAGAGAGGAAAGGAATGACTCATCGCTCATATCAGAAATATGGAAAATACTACCACTACCACTAATCAAGTCAAGCGATGAATAATAGTGGAATTACATAAACAAAGTTGACTACGTACGATTGACTGGATGGATATACACCAATCCAATCCAGTCAGAGTATCGACCAACTCATCAATCTGTCAATCATTCAATCAAACTAGATCGTCTTCAATGTCTCACTATTCTTCTCTTCTTAAAGCATGAAAGATGATCTGAGTTCATCGATCAACGTTTTCCACTGTGACTCACTGAAACTGATATATATATATATGCTCGTTTTTTTCTCAATCTTAAATGTATATGTATGCATGGATGATGCGTCATCATCGTTATTGTATGTGTTACAATCTCTACTGGTATTCCTGTTCAACAATCTTGTTTGGTTTTCGCTTTTGTTTTCTTTTGCCAACCACGAATGCCTTTTGTTTTCTTCCTTCAATTGATTTCACTTGGAACAAAAATTCTGTTAGCTGTGAATAAAATGTGATGCCAAGAATAGAATACCTTATTTTTAGTAATTCTAATTTATACATGTCTGTGAAAATTTCAATGTGATTCAACTTTCAATGGTGCATATCATTCTATGGATAATCTTTACTATTATTATTATTATTATTACTATTCAAAATTCAGCGAATTTCAGTGACAAATTTCAGGCTGAGAGAAATCTATGCGAGTGTTTGTTAACTCTTATGTGTTGTTCTGTTATCACAGACCAACAGGAGAAGGGGGCATACACACGCACGCACACACACATCTACAATCCTGGCTGTTACACAATTCACGAGAATAATACTTTTGATAAGCTGTGTAGGATAGATAACACGTATACGAATGAATATACGTCATTTGAAATTGAATTCTTCAAATGAAAGTGTAATTAAATTATTCGTCTGGTAAACAGACCTACTACTGTTTTTGAATGCTGTTGTATTTTGTTATTGTTTTTTTTTGAAATCTAAACACTCCATCCTGGTGTTTTTCCACTGTGTCGGTCTATATATAATGAGCGGACTTCACATCCACCCCCACCTATTTGCCATCTCATATATGCACTGTTTATATATTATGTAACATGGTGTGAATTACTATTTTTTACCTTTTTTTTCTAAATACTATCATATGGTTTCTATGTGAAAAAGAAATAAAATAAAAAGATGTTTGTTTTGCTGAAATCGCCTTGTGTTTGTATTTTGCATTTGTACCGTGTACGCATCGGCATCACAGAATGGCAATCAAACCTGCCTCGATCTCGAGTTCATCGGCTTTGACTAGCCCTTCGAAAGATAGTATTGACTAGATATTATAGAGGAGATTTGTAGCTCAGGTGGATGATTTTGATGTGGTTTTGTTCTCTGAGCTGGATGGTTAGTTTGCGAAGCTTTCATCACCTTACTGGGTGACATCTTCAGCGCATACTTCAATTTGAAGTGAGCTTTTAGATTTCTCAACGAGTTTATTAATCATCTCTCCTGGTGACCTTGGACGTGATTGGTTGTTTGTGTGTGTTTTCACACCTTCTAGGTTACTTGTATTGGAACCGGTTGTTTCTTTGACTTGAATTTTGACCCTTTGTCTGTGAAGTTTCTTTCTTATTGGTTGATAAATTTTGTCTATGTCGATGTGTCTATTGATTGATGATCCACTGGAATGCCAAGCTTCTAAAAATTCTCTAGCATTCTTGTTATTTCCTTTGTCAAAGATGAAGATGTATATCAACAACTCCCAACAAATCCCATACAAACATTGGATAACCGCATCCAAAGGACCTTAAACAAGCTCACCAAAACTGGACAGATCACAAAACAAGACCAATGGCGAATGAAATCCAATGGACCAGTCCTACCCCGATTCTACGGCAGACCCAAAATACACAAGGCAAATATCCCATTGCGACCAATTGTATCACTCCCAGGAACTCCAACATATAATTTATCCAAGGAATTATACAGAAAACTAAAACACCTAACGGAATCTTGCGATCACTCCATCAACTCTGCTATCCAATTCCTAGAGAAAATCAGAGGCATCCAAATAGATGAACAAGAAATAATGGTATCCTTTGAAGTGACAGCATTATATACCTCCATCGGACAAAAACTAGCAAAAGAAACCATGGAGCAATTACTTAGCAACGACGAACAACTGCCACAACAATCAAAAATGCAACACACAAGCTGGATGGAATGCATAAATCTATGCCTAACAACATACTTCCAATTCAACGGCCAAATATATGAACAAGTCAAAGGAACACCCATGGGATCGCCAATATCAGGTTTGATTGCAGAAGCAGTGATGCAAAGACTCGAAAATATAATTCTACCAAAGATCAAACCCAAGATTTGGATACGCTACGTCGACGACACATTTGTAATCATCAAAAGAAACGAATTAGATAAAACTCACAACTTAATAAACAACGTCTTCAACGACATCAAATTCACAAGAGAAGAGGAATCCGAGAACGAAATACCATTTTTGGACGTCTTAGTCAGGCGAACAACTACAGGAGAATTAGAA